GCATTCCTTACTCTGCCTCTCATCTTATTTTGTATACATGGCCTTTTCTCTCATCATTTATCAAGTCTGATTATTTCATTTTTGTTGCAGATGACAATTGACATGCGTACAGTTAATGTCATTTTACTGCTTGGCGAGACAGCTTTAAATTGCTTGGTATTTTAACGTCTGTAACATGTTCTAATTCTCACAAGACATTTGTATTTTTATATTTTTATATTTTCTTCTATGTTGAATTTCTTCAACCTGCCCTTTCAGTGGGGTCCTTTCTTTCGTATTTCTTTCTTTTCATTTTCTAGTGGATCATTCATGCCTGCATATCGATCTGGTAACTTCTCTCGTCCTTCTGCGTAATCTATTCAGAGAATATGGTGATTCAATCAATTGATAAGTGATAAGAGATGGTGTTTTTGTTAACAGGCGGCCATACCCTTTTCTTGACTTGGCATCTCCCTCTGCTCCTTTATGGTATGCTTTTTCTCAACATATCTGAGACGTCTCATTTACTTGGTTATGATTTTTAAACTTGAACTCTCTTATTTTAGATGATAAATGAAAAGGTATGCATGCATGTTTTTAATATCCTTGTGGCCTTTAAAGAAAATCCATTTTGTGGTATTGAATTGCAGGTACTTGTTGATTGGAATTATGCACATACCATGCTATGGAATATTTACCTTGATTGTGAAAAACGAAACACTACTTTTTGGCAAAATGGTTTCCTTCTTCTTGTCAGTAAGTACTAAAGATTAAAACCCGGGTTTGGTTGAATTTTTACAGGTTAATTCCGTCTCAAAGTGAGGAAAATGGAATAAAAGGTGGATGGTTATTAAGTGGGTTTCCAAGGAAATTTTGGTTCTTCCTTTTCTTCTTCTTATTTTACCCTCCTCTATTTCATCAGCTACTCTTCATTTCTCCTTAAATCCTCTTGATTTTCTTCTTGTGCAGAGGGATTAAGAAAATTCTTGTGACCTTATAGCTAACAATGATTTTCATTTCTTTTTATAAAGAATGACATTTTATTTTGTCAAAATAAGTTAAATGTTCTGATATTGTCCGTTAGTTTCTCGGTTCTTTCGTCTAATTGTAACAACAAAAACAACTAAGGCATTTGGCACTGTTGGAACTTTTCCAACTTTTTTTTTCCTTGAATTTTACTTGCATGGGGTCGAACTCTTTAATGACGGTTCGGGATGTTTTTAATTTGTAAAATGCCGGTTGATTACATAATATATACATTGACATCGTATAAAAATATAGATGTTCATAATGAATGTCCTAATCCGCAAATCAAAGTATCATACTATGTATAATAACAATAACAGAAGGAACTATGGAAAAAGTACATGCGACGAGAAAGATAAAGCAAAGAAATATCTTAAGTTCAGCATGTATTGAATTTAACAATTGAAGAACAATCATCATCAACTATAAAACCGTACGAAGGAAAGCAAGTATGAAGCCCACAGAAATGTGATGAACCACTGAAAGTTACATCTACAACTCAGTGTCGGCCCCCATTTTATTTAACAGATAGTGAAAGTTTAAAGACATACAGAGAACCAGTACTTGAAACCATTTCTAGTTTCAGCCATTACAATTATTTACTGCTACTCAAACCAGTAACTGAAATCTCCTTTATGCAGAAGCTTTGGCAAGAGCACCAGCTTCAGTCAGAAGAGGAACCAGCTTCCCTTCCTTGTGCAATGCCATTGTAGCTACAAAACAGTGAAGAGAGAGCATTTAAGTAACAAGAAATTACAAGAGAAAGACACGGAACACGATCATATTCATATATAAGAACAAGAACAAGCCAATGGTTGTCTGGCCAAGGCAATGAAGTCCTCACCATCACATCCACCGATGTGTTTTCCACCAATGAACACATTGGGCACGGTCCGCTGTCCGGTCCACTCGGCCAATGCTGCTTGGATCTCAGCCCCGTCACCTTCAGAAAATTGCACATACACGCGTTATGCTTTATGTTTTAGTGACTAATGAGAACAAACTTTTCATTTTCAGAAACAAAAATTTCACACATGTTACTAAAGGTTATGGTTGCCCTGTGCCTGTCTAATGCAGAAAGAGATATGAGTGACAAATTTGCTTACATTTGTTCGAAAATGTCAGAATCTTAAGCCTTAACAACGAAATTCACATGTCTTGAGCTAGAAACCACATATCAAGTATATGAGACAAATCCCAACGAAACAAAATGACCTCGAGAATTAATTAGATCCACAAATAACATGATCAGTCATAATATGACAGTCTATCGCCAAAAGCCCTCCTATAAATCCTTTTTTTTCTTTCATGTAAAAGAGCTAAAAGGTGTTCTGTAGCAAAATTATGGACATAAAAAGTCATAAACATTATAGATTCATCGTAGAATCCGCAAAGCCGTTCAAATCTTAGAACTCATTCGAAGTAGCTGTAAATTTATCGAGTATAAGAAATTCAGCGAAAAACCCCTTTGCACTAAAAGCTTAAGGCCCCGTTCACTTCACCAATTCGAGTTTAGAATTCGAGTTTTGCTATAGTAAAAAGCTCTCACAAACAATCATATCTAACTTTTTTGCTACAGTAAAAAACTCTCACATAAAATCACATCTCAACTCGAATTACAAACTCGAATCAGCGAAGTGAACGAACCATAAATCTATTATTAGATAAGATTGCTGTTTGCCACAAAAGAATCCAGCATAGGGAATTAAGGCTCCCTATTTTAAGATTGCAACCAAAATCGTTAAGAATTTGACTTCGATCTATAATATAATTTCAATTACGTAAAACTGTATACCAACAAGAATCAATAGCACACAAATTCAGGGCCCAAAATCAAGGCGCTCAACAGCAAGGAAATAATAATAATGATATAACGTACTCTCAGTGTCCAATTCGACGGCTTTGAAAGTGGCGCCCAATTCGGACAATAGCTTCTTCACGCTCGCGCAGAACGGACAGTACGTCTTGCTATTCAACACAAACACAATTCCATTCACATTAGACTGGTTCGTCGAAAAATCGATACCATTTTCACAGACATGAAGAAACACAGAAAACGGACAGAGAGAGACAGACCTGAAGACGGCGACCGGATTGGACGAAACAATCTCCTTAGCCTTAGCCAACGCCATTTTTCTCTCTGATATTTCTCTTACAATGATGGAATCTCTCTCTATCTCTTTCTCTGTAGCCAAACAGGCTCTGAGTCTGACCGTATTTATTGATTTATTGAGGGTCCATTTAATTCGGTTTAATTAAAATTTGAGTTATGACTGATGAGAATTTTTTATTATAAAAAAAGTTAAATATAATTACTTTTTTAAATTTTTTATTATAATAAAACTCGGAATGAACAGGACAGTTTCCACCTGATTCGTTCGGTTCGATACGAGTTTTCTTTCTGATTTGGGCTTTATCTGTGTCACTTTCGTGGGCCCATCTCACGCACTCAACCACGAATCAGCTGAGGCCCAAAATTGGCGTGGCCTGGCGGCGGGGACGCTCATCGTCCAAACTTTAAAGATTTTTTTTTCCCCCTCAGAAAAGAAGAATAAAGAAGAATCTTCTTTTAAAAAAAGAAAAAAAAAATTGTCATCCAAAGATTTGTGTTCATACGAGCAATATTGTTTGCCGTCCTTAAAAAAAAAAAAAAAAAAAAATGTTCCTGTTCGCCTATCATTGAAACGTTAGTTTCTCATAAAAAGAGAAATAAAGCATTATATGCGTAATCGTACAGTATCTAATACATGTATATAGTTTATACCCTTTACAGACACCACATACGACACTCGTTTTCTAAATTCTAAAAGAAAAAAAAAAGTAAAAGTAAATACACTCTTGATTTTCTCATAAACATAAATTAATCCACACCATATTCAGCCAAAATGAATGGAAAATAAAACGATATGTAGATTTTTTTTTTTTTTTAGAGAACGACCATATTTATTTATTTATTTATTTTTGTCCCTGCATGTCGATAAACAGCATGTCTTTTGCTGTAGTTCCCTTTTTTTTTCTTTTTTTTGTGCGCTAATCTTGTAGTTGTAGACCTATTTTATTAGAAGTGCGGTAGACCTCGCTCTTCGTTGCGTAAAAGAAATCTCATATTGTCACACGGGCCAAAACGTTTGTCGTTCCTCCTTGGAAATTGAAGCGACATGTCGTCTCTTTTCGAATGCCACTTAGTTTCCAGTAGATGTCGTTTTATGTAATTTAATCGGCACGTCGCGGGTAGTGTAGCTTACAAACCGATGTGTCCCTTTAGTAATTAATCCGCTTGTACTTAGGAAAAACGTCACATTGTTCTTACTTGAAAAGCGTCGTAGTTGTGGGTGTTTATTTTTATTTATACATTATATTTGAAATGGATTAGTTCTGGTTTTTAAGTTTAAAATAGTAATGACGGGGAAGAAGGCAAGTAGTTTCATGTCACTATTATATGTTGGACAAAATTGATCAAGCTGTGCCTGTGACACACTGGATCGGAAAGAACCAACGAGAAATGTCCCTAGACCAGAATCGGCCTAATTAATTGGTAAAACTGAATATTTTCATATGAAAAGAAATTTGTGTACCCCAACAATCCTTATGAAGCCAAAGTCACCAAATTCATTTAAACCTTTGAGGTTCCAGAATAAGCATCCCACTAAAATGTTTAAGCCACTGCAGGCTCTAAAAGCTTTGCTATAAGATTCTGTGCGACCGCGTCGATAAATTCTTGAGTGTTCAAGTAAAACTCCCTGGTTACCCTGCATGCATTGAACATTTCAGTTGTGAGGAACTGGCTAGCATTGACCTAACCATGAATACGTGACTAGTGGAACCAATCCTTTCAACTGGTTTGTCATATCACCAGATTCATCACAAGATTCAAAGAAGCAGAATTGACAAGGGATTTTGACAGGAATCATTTAACAAGGGAAAGGAAGATGCAAAAAGTAACAATGAATGTCATACTCAAGTTTCCACTTACTTTGATCCATGGATCAAAATGGCGAGATCCTTGGTCATCTTTCCCGTTTCAACCGTCTCAATGCATGACGCCTCCAACTTGTGAACAAAGTCTAGCAATCTGTCATTTTGATCTAATTTGGCCCTGAAATCAGTTAAATCATCAGATTTTAGTTTTTGGGGGAATTTCAGAAAGAAAATATTTTTTTCCTCTTTGGAAGGGTGGAAAAAGAGGAACTAGAGAGATACTTCTCAAGTTGCATTGAGTTTTCAAAAGATCCAGTAAAAGATTTGTAGCAAAAGATAGATTCCATCCATCCATTTTTATTCAAATATATATTCCATCAAATATGGAAAAGGAAAAGAAAAAAAAAAGAAGCAACAAATAGTACCTATGCTCTAGTCCTCGTGTCCATGCAAATATTGAAGCAATGCTATTCGTACTTGTTTCTTGTCCCTTCTGATGTAAACGGAAATGCCGAGTAACAGTCCCATGAGCCGCCTCAGCTTCTAATGTCTTGCCATCAGAAGATAACTGCACAACTATTTATTGTTATGACTTTGAGCCGTTACCAAAAAAGGGTCAGCATTACAGTGATGGGATTCTTTGGTGCAAAGTACAAACCAATACAGAAGTCATAAGGCCTAAAGAGCCAAATCCTGCACATGACACAATAGAAAAGCTTTTAAACTCGAGTGAAAGGAGTAAACAAAAAATGACTACCAATATTTTCTAGAAAGTTGGAAAGAAGGTTTTCTAGTACCTTGAGCAAGTAGATCGCTCTGGACGTCACCATCATAATTCTTGCAAGCCCATACATATCCACCTTCACTTTTGAGAGCATATGCCACCATGTCGTCAATTAGTCGATGTTCATACCTGAACACCACAAAGACTTCCTCAGAGTTGCTGATAAGTATGTTGAGCAGTCATTTAAAAATACTTTCACCAAGCAATACAAACCATATAGACTGTTCTTCAAACTTTTGCTTCCACTTCTCTTCATAAACCTCCTGGAATATGTCCTTAAACCTGTAGCCAGAAACTATAATTTTTGTGCAAATATTCGCCGAAATAACTTAAATGTCTATCGAACATACCAACAAAAAGTCAACAGCATTGCAACATCATTACAAAGATTCTAACTATCAAGTTTACCTGCCATCATATTTTTTAAGGATTGTGTTTTTGGTGCTCAAGTATAAAGGCCATTTCTTTGTGAATGCGAGCGACATGGATGACTCAGCAAAAGCACGAATAGACTGACAAATTACACAATGATTTATTAAATATTGTCAATCAGCTTATGCAGATATCCAAAGAAACAAAAGTAGCAAACCAAATCTGGAGAAAGTAAAAGATACAATAAAACAAAGACCTCATCCACATTATACATAGCAAGTGCTATTCCCGGGCCTTTGAAATTGTAAACGTCAAGCTCCATCGGTGCACCCCCATCTTCTGGGACTACAAAGAGAAATAGAAAGATTGTCCTAAGAAGAAAAAGAACAAGCATATACAGAATGCTGAAAAAAGACTATATAATCAGCTTACCAAATACCATCTTAAGCTTTCCTGGTCCCCCAATGACTGCATCAGTGGCACGATACTGATCACCAAAAGCATGTCTGCCAATACAAATGGGTTTCTTCCAACCTGAAACTCAAGATCAAGTATTGAGCAGCTATGGACAATTTTACCACAGTTAAGACTGCAGCATAGAAATGAGTCATGACATTACCAGAAACAATCCTTGGAATGTTCTTGCATAGGATAGGTTCACGAAAAACAGTACCTGAAAAAGTAGTAACAATTTCCACCATGGGGCATCACAAATTTCAGGGGGGGAAAAGTGACACAAAGGAAAATTAAGCAATGAGCAACAATATCACGTTCGTGCTGCAATAAAGCTTGATAAACCAAAACAACGTATTACCAACTTCATAAGGTGACATATACATATCAATTGAAGCTACATCAGTAACAGCCACTAACTATACAAACCATTTAGAATGTTTCTAATTGTTCCATTGGGACTTCTCCACATTGCCTTTAGCCCAAATTCCTTCACTCTGGTCTCATCTGCAAAGTACAACACAACATCAAGACACTTCTACTCTTTGAAAAATTGCAGCAAGTAATATTTATTACTGAGCATGCTACATGTTTGTTCAAGATCTGTTCTCGGTGCATGTAATAGGGTAAAAACTCTGACTCACAAAGAAGAAGAAAACCTACTAACCAGGTGTTATTGTAGCACATTTCACAGCAACATTGTATCTGCAGCATATCCAGGATAAAATGAACCATAGTTAGAACATTGCAGAAACTTTCTTCTTTACACTAGCATTCAGCTGAATGCGGCCCATTTTTCCAGACTAACCCCTTTCCGAGTATCCTCTGTTCTTGTAGTGTTCACAGTAATCAGCAATTTCTCGCTCCAAGCGTATCAGATTATTATAGCATATGCTGAATAGTGGCATTTGATTGCTATCGGTTGAAATATTGGCTTTTCTATTTAATCATTACAACATTGCCATTTTCAAATTACTTTAAAATTAAAAGTTCACTTTTATAAGTTATAAGGCTTAGTAATTATACAAAAAGTAGAAAAAGTATTTAAAACACTATTATGCATCGTGCACAAAATGAAACAGCATACTAAATATTTTCATTTTTACAGCTTTAATTGTTAAACATGGCATTAGCATTGGCATTTGCATTTGTATTGGAGATTGTCTAACACTCCAGAGCTTCTCTAATAAGTACCAATGCATGAAAGCCATAGGCTACATAAAAGAAACACCAACTTTAAAGAACCAAATAGCATTGAATTTGATTAAAAAAAGAAAACATAACAAAAAAACTTACTTGAGAGTGGCTTCAGCACTCTCCACCGTAACTCTATCATCGGTAGCATCACGGTTCAGTATTCCCAAATCGTAATACTTTATATCCAAATCCAGATAAGGAAAAATAAGCTGCAATCACATTTAAAAAAAAAAAAAAAAAAAAAAAAAAAAAAAAAAAAAAAAAACACTGTTAAATCAAATCAAGAAGCTTCTATGGAGTTCCAGTGGAGAAAGACACAAAATTGAAATCGAAAAGAAGCTCAAACCTTATCTTTTATCATTCTCCATATGATCCTCGTCATCTCATCACCTAATTCGAGAACATAGCACAAAATTTCAACCAAAATAAAATACAACAGTAAACAGCAAAGCACCAGATTGTTAGCGAACATACCGTCCATTTCGACAATAGGATTCTGGACTTGAATCCGATCAAATCCCAACGACGAAGCGTAGCATCGGAGTGAAGAGTGAGCAAAGCGAGGCGAGAAGCAAACGCGGTTGGCCGGAAGAGCTCCATTGAAAATCCTGGAGCTAGAAGAAGAAAAGAAGATAGGGCTTCTTAGGGCTTTAGAAGAGGACAAAGAAGACGACGAAGATATCATTGTGGTGCCGAAAATGGCGGTTAATCGGAGTGTTGCTCTTAGCATTTGAGTTTCTTTTGGCTTCGGGCGGTGGAGCTTAAGCTTATACGGTGGGGTGGGGTTTCTAGAAGTTTTTGTTATTCGGCTGAGTAGTAATGAGCTCGGCTATTCGGCTTAGCCGGCTCCACGCCGATATTGCCGTTCTTTGTCTTTTCTGTTGACTCTTGCTGTTGCGAATTACGATCGAGTCCCCAGCACATTTCCTTCGGGGGGAAAAAAAAGGGACATTTAGGCCGTTTAGTTCACTAATTTGAGTTTTTAATTTGAGTTGAGATGTGATTTTATGTGAGTTTTTTACTGTAATAAAAAAGTTAGATGTGATTATTTGTGAGAGTTTTTTACTGTAGCAAAACTCAAATTCTAAACTCGAATCAGAGAAATGAACGGGATCTTAAAAAAAGAGCAGAAGTACGAATTTTTTGAAAAATACTGTTTTATATTTTTTTTTATAACCTCTTAAAAAGAGAGAGTTGGTTAATGTGATACAAGTCTTAAGTAGAGATAGAGATCCGGAATTTACTCTTTTGTAATTTTTGCAAATCAGATTTATAAAATTTATTGTAAGGTCTTTAAAACAAAATTTGAAGAGTGAATTACATGCATTTTTATATCCACTAAACTTCTCTTCAGAATACACACCAAAGCAAGGTAGCAAATATGATAATAGTGAATAAAGTTAATCACAATAATAAACCTGAAACATTTTCTTTTATAAAGAAAAATACTAAACTTTTTTGTTCAATAGCATTCTACTAATTAAAATTTGGAAGATTTATTCACAATTCTACCTCTTGTTCACCAACTAAAGCATTTCTATCATAAAATCACCAGCTTTATTACTAAATAGCAAATTGAATAGCATGCGTGCCACAACCCACAAGTACTTTCATATGTTTTAAGATTAATGCTCAATTTTATTTATAGTTTTGCTTTATACCATGCTTTGTTTAGCTTTATTACAAGCTTTCATGGGCCGTGGGGACTCATTGCAAGTTTATGAGAGACTGCCATCTTAAGTTCTACCAAAAACAAACACAAAACAATACAAAAAGAAATAATGAAAGAAAGAAAAAGGCTACCATAATAAGCCAATTTCAGGTACCACTGAATATATAAAAAGCGTATGAATTAGTCTCACACTGATTATTTATCTAGTTTTCACTACCTATAATATACTCTAGACTATCTATCTAATTTTCACTTCTTATAATATGGCCCATTGAGATTGAGGTTCACTACGCCATGTTCATTTCATTGATTTGAGTTTAGAATTTAAGTTTTACTATAGTAAAAAACTCTCAGAAACAGTCACATCTAACTTTTTTATTACAGTAAAAAATTCTCACATAAAATCACATATTAACTCGAATTAAAAATTTAAATTAGCGAACTAAACGAACCATTAATTTCTTAAAAGAAACTGGAATAATAGAAACTCGAACCTTAAATAAATAGACAAAAAAGACCTAATTAAAACGTCCGTACCACTTCACTACGGCACTCGTACCGTTCAACCGTGTGATTACCACATTGTACCAGCCTATAAATACTTCTGAAGTTTGGACGAGATCAGAGAGAGAGATAAATACTTCTGAAGTTTGGACGAGAGAGAGAGAGAGAGAGAGAGAGAGAGAGAGAGAGAGAGAGAAATCCCTGGAACTTGGAAGACCATATATTACGAGCTTGGGATGAAGAGGAAAATAGGACATCGTAGATCAGTAGTGCTTGTTATTTACGCAATCTTCTTCTCTGTGCTTTTGGAAGGTCTATTAGCAGTACGTGTAATCAGCAGCACAAACCTGCAAAATCCGCCGAGTACTCCAAGCTCAGGAGTCGTCTTTTTCAAGGTAAGAAGCAGAGGGAGCATTCACTCCAGCAGCCAAAGGTTTTACGATCATGGCCGCTTCGCAATATCACGAGGCCGCGACCTTGCTTTTCCTGAAGAACAGAAGAGAATCACGCCCAACGGCGCCAACCCACTTCACAACAGGTGATTAATTAGTACGAAAGTTCAAAATGATTTTGGCACTGTAATGCTTTGGTTTTTTTTTTTTTTTGGCAGTTCCTTGGGCTTTAAACTTTTTGTATTATACTTGAACATGTATCGTTCTGATCATGGCAAATATTGATCGTGAGTTTTTCAAATATTTCTCTGCTCGTGTATTTTCTTATAGCAACAAACACAAGTCCAAACTCAAACTCCAAACGGCTACCTATAGTTTAGTTCCAATCTTCGTGCAAATGAGAGGGCTCTCACAATTCGTTGTTAAAAATTTGAAATAAAATCTTTTTTTTTTCACCCTGTTCACATCTAATCAACATGACAATTCCATAGATTCTGGACACATGAATATAAAATTCCCCCAAAACAAGGAATATTTTGGGTAGGGACTATTATTTTTGTTCCTAAGGTGGAATCTTTATTTCAACCCTTTACATTAGATTTTTAACCGTTAAATATGTAAGTATCTATATAAAATTTTATAGCAAGCGAAATTATTAAAAAACTAATCTAATAATCAAATAGCAGTTTCTGCTATAAAAGTTATTAGAAACTAAAAGGAAAATGAATGATATTTGTGGTATGGTGGTATTGCCGTTATTGGGGAAAAACACAGCCCTACACGCACGCAGCAGAAAAAAAAATTGAAACAAAAATAACAGAAAAACAGATAAGACAAAGATTTAGGTGGTTTGAAAAATTTCCTACGTCCATAAAAAATGGAGAAATATTCACTAACAGTTTCAAAATTACACACTCAACAAATTTTCTCATTTTCTCTCTCTATCCAAAACCCCTTACACCCTTTATCTATCTCTCTCATCACTTTTCTATTTTTCTCTAAAAAAAATACATTTTTTCTCTATACTATTCTATAAGCATACATAAAGCCTTACATAAAACGCTTATTTATACTCATAATAACCATTGCCCAAAAATAAAAACAATAACTTCCCAAAAAACACGAAATAGTAACTTTCTCAAAACCATTCGAGGCACTTACCAAATAAATGGGTGTGTGTGTTGTCCTACATGAAAATGAGATGAGAATGTAAAATACTTTATATACATGGAAGGACCATATACCCAGTAAGTTAACATTTTGGGTTAAGTTTGGCTCCTGAAGTGTGTTGGGCTAGTTTTGCATGTGGAGTCTCCCTAACAAGTAATATCAGAGCCGATGGTTCATATGAGCTAAGTGATCACACTCGGTTGGTGTTCCTGCAGTTGGTTCTGTTGTAGGTGCAGATAGTGGAGCATTTAGTGGACTCGCTTGGTTTCGGCTCTTTTTCTCATGCTCGAGTTGGCTCCCGTTTGGAGTGTGATGTTTCGATGTGCCGGCTATAAGAAACTTTGGTTCAGGGGAAACTCAGTGAATACACACATGAGGGAGAGATTGTTCAAAAAAATGCACGTATGTTTTGTCCCACATAAAAAGTATATGAAAATGTAAAGTAATTTATATATATGGAATGACCTTAGATCTAATAAGTTAACTTTTTGAGTCAAATTAGACTCTTAAAGCATGTTTGACTAATTTTGCTGGGGTCTCCCTCACACCCATAATTACCATACTTTTAGAATCGATGTAAACTACAATTAGCTAGCTATAGAGTGCACTATTAGAAGCTAAAGGCAACGTTGTTTTCACAAGTTCTATTGTTACAGTATTTTTTTTTATAAAAATTCTAATTTAATTTTTTTATTATAATATTTTTATCTCATATATATAATTCAAATTAAATTTTAAATTTTTAATTTGGGTTATGAAATAAACATCTATTTGGTTTGCCTAGTTCAATTTTTATTGATTTTCTCTCGAAACTCTGGTGAGAGATAATATTATACGTGCACTGCCAAAAAGCAAAACTCCTCTAGTGACTAGTCACCCTCTCCGATTAAAAAGGCAACTTGATAGGTGCAATATGGAAGGTAAAAAGACGGCCAGAGCAACAGAAAAAAGCCAACGAAAGAGTTTCTCCTTCTGGTCTGTCTGTTCATTTGGTGAAAGGAACAGCAGAAAATCTCTTCACCCGAACTGTGAATTTAGATTAGATATTGTAGCCGCCAAGCGTAGAGGATAGTGACCCCACTCAACGAAAATGCAAAAATAGAACAGTTTATGAATCAGAAATTCTCCTTTTGCGCTGACATGAAAGCGAGATCGAGTTTTATTTTTATGTGGTCTTTTTATTTAGTTCACATGTTTTAAGTTGCGAAATCCTATGATTTGTGCTTGGTTTCATCGCTTTTTTGCTCCAAAACAAGAAAATAATAAAACAAGAAGATTGCAGAGATCATTTGGTGCAGGAAATCGGAAATAGACAATAGATTTCGGCCACAAATTGGCTTTTTTTTTTTTTGGGAAAAAGGCTTTCGTCTTGGGTACTTGAAAAAACATTTCATATCCTATCGCGTTCGGCTTTCTTTAGTTGCCATCAATTTGCCAGAGAGATTCAGATTCTGGCGTTTAAGAAAAGGAAAAAACAGAGAAACTTACAAATAGTTTTATTAAGATCTGTATGTATCTCCTCCCATCGTAAGTTGTGTTATCTGTCGTACGATGATAAGATTCCACTTTATAAGTTTGTTTTGCTCGCGGATTTGAATACATATATTTTTTTCAGAAAAGGATTTATAAATACATTTTTTTTTTTCACAACTTAACTTAAAATTTTAAGTTGTGTAAGTGAAAAAAAACACTACTTAAATTTAAATTTTATTAAAAAAAATATTATAATAATAAAATTTAAATTGTGACTTGAAAAATATAATGCGAAAATTCACGCCCATAGACACATTGCAGGATATAATACAAATCATAAAGACAAAATAATAGAAAATCACAAATTTCTAAAAATTATTTCAGCAAATTACACCGTTTTAAAGTACTTGTATTAAACAAGAAGTTTAGTTCTAGAAATTACAACACGTGGCATTTTTTATAAACGTATAAGACAAAATAGGTACCCTATTTTGAGACAGATTTATAGTTATTAACTAGTGTGCTACCCGTGTATTTGCACGGTGGTATAATTATCAATA